AATCCTAGAGGAAAACCTAGGTAGTACCATTCAGGACATAGGCATGGGCAAAGACTTCATGTCTAAAACACCAAAAGCAACGGCAGCAAAAGCCAAAATTGACAAATGGGATCTCATTAAACTAAAGAGCTTCTGCACAGCAAAAGAAACTACCATCAGAGTGAACAGGCAACCTACAGAATGGGAGAAAATTTTTGCAATCTACTAATCACACAAAGGGCTAATATCCAGAACCTACAAAGAACTCAAACAAATTTACAAGAAAAAAACAAACAACCCCATCAAAAAGTGGGCAAAGGATATGAAGAGACTTTTCTCAAAAGAAGAAATGCATACAGCCAACAGACACATGAAAAATGCTCATCATTACTGGCCATCAGAGAAATGCAAATCAAAACCACAATGAGATACCATCTCACACCAGTTAGAATGGTAATCATTAAAAAGTCAGGAAACAGCAAGTGCTGGAGAGGATGTGGAGAAATAGGAGTACTTTTACACTGTTGGTTGGTGGGATTGTAAACTAGTTCAACCATTATGTAAACAGCATGGCGATTCCTCAAGGATCTTGAACTAGAAGTACCATATGACCCAGCCATCCCATTACTGGGTATATACCCAAAGGATTATAAATCATGCTGCTATAAAGACACATGCACACATATGTTCATTGCAGCACTATTCACAATAGCAAAGACTTGGAATCAACCCAAATGTCCATCAGTGACAGATTGGATTAAGAAAATGTGGCACATATACACCATGGAATACTATGCAGCCATAAAAAAGGATGAGTTTGTGTCCTTTGTAGGGACATGGATGCAGCTGGAAACCATCATTCTCAGCAAACTATCTCAAGAACAGAAAAGCAAATACCGTATATTCTCACTCATAGGTGGGAATTGAACAATGAGATCACTTGGACACAGGAAGAGGAACATCACACACCAGGTCCTATTGTGGGGAGAGGTAGTGGGGAGGGATAGCATTAGGAGATATACCTAATGTAAATGACGAGTTAATGGGTGCAGCACACCAACATGGCACATGTATACATATGTCACAAACCTGCACATTGTGCACATGTACCCTAGAACTTAAAGTATAATTAAAAAAAAAAAAAAGAGCCCTTATCTGCCTGGGAAAGGGCAGAAAGCCCTGCTGCGTTCAGGCACAGGTGAAAACCCTAAAGTAATTGAAGTCTTGTTATGGATATCTTGACAAATACTACCATCTGGTGTCAATAGTCAGTCCTCATTATCCAAAAATGTTATATTTGCTAATTTGTCTACTTGCCAAATTTTATGTGTAGCCCCTAGATATATATTCATAGCACTTTCACAATCATTCATGAACATGTGCAGAGAGGTACAAAATTTGAGTCCCTCAAAGAACATTTTTCTAAGGTAGAAAAAGGTGGTGCTCTGTCTTCATGTTCCAGCTCTCACACAGTAAACAAGCGTCCTTTTTGTAGTCTATATAGTGCCAACTTTTTCACATTTTTGTGTTTTTGGTTGGTGATTTCACAATCTTAAATGGCTCCCAAGTGTAATGCTTAAGTGTTGTCTCATTTTCCTAAGCATAAGAAGGCTGTGACATGCCTTACAGGGAAAAATGTGTGTGTTAGACTTTGTTATAGTTACATGGTTGTTGACTATGAATTCAATGTTAATAAATCAACAGTGCAGTACATGCAGGAAAAGGGGAAGGAAATTCACCCATCTGCAGGTGAGGTTGCTTGGGAAAGTAACATCTATAATGCTATGCTGAAGCTATGGGAAAACAGTTACATTTGTGGATTCATGAAATGACAACCATTTTTTAAAGTATAGTGGACAGCAATGTTGTGAGACTGAAAACCAAAGAAATTTATGATCATGTTAACCAAGGTCAGCAATATACTAAAGACTTCTTAGATAGTGTTTTATTATATGGAAATACTGCTAATAATGAATTATAAATATATACAATATAAAATAAGACGTTTTTAAACAGAAACACACATAAAACAAGCTTATGTATTCATCAGTTAACAAAAATGTTGTGAAAAAGCTCACAAGAACCTAACACCTGTATTTCCCTGGGAACAATTGCTCAGTGCTCACGAATCCAGTGTTTGCAGCAACTGCACAGAATATAACGGTCGTGAATAATAAGAATGTGCAGTACGATATTACTTGCCTTGATCTCACTTCAATCTTGAGGAGCAACACTCTTGTTCCCTTTTTTGATCATTTTCTCTTCAGTGACACACTTGTACTACATCTCAGGCATCACCAGTATCAGTGTCTCACAAATTTTAGTGGACTTGTGAGTATCCTGTTGATTTTCCAAAATACAAATTATAATTCAGTAAATCTAAGGTGAGGCCCAAATTCTACCTTTCTAACAAGCTCTGATGTGAGAACTCTGCTGGTTGTCCCTGAACCACTGAATAGTAAAGATATAAATCCTGCCTTGCATACCTGCAACACTAATTTAACTCGAATAACTCTCTATAGTTGAATGATAGGAGTAGTAAGAGACAAAATTGTGTTTCTCCTCTGGAGCTCAGAGAACAAACTATAGAACTAGGAATGTGTAAAATTTCCTCCCACCAAGAAGGCTTTTAAACTGAAGAGTATCAAATGTCTCAACTACCTCAAAAGCACCAGGAAGGAAAAGAATAAGAAAAGACTACAAATTTGGCATAAATTCAACAAAAAGTTTTATCGAGAACATGTTTCATGAGAGCAAGATCCAACACCAGGGATGCATATATTCAAAACACACATACTTTGCATTGAAGGAGTAGAAAAATTAGGAGGAAAAGGGGGACCTAAATAGCTGCAACGAAGGAGAGGAAGTGAGGAGTACAGTTAGCAAAGTACGGCTGAAATGTGGTGGGAGTTCAGACCAGGAAGAGACCGCTTCCCACTTGTGAGTCAGGGAAGGCCCTCGGGAATAAGGGACATCTATAACAAGCCTGATGATCCATTAATAGTTGAACATGTGAAGATTGCTAGGATCCCATTCCATTTGGAGATAAAATTTGAATTTTAAAGTCCCAGAACCGAGGTCAGAACAACAAATCCTGCAAAACTAAATTGAGCTTATATTGACAAATGATCATTAATCAGAAACAAGCAAAACTGACAAACGTTTTACAAGGAGAGTTAGAGGACGTCATCACCACGATGTGTTCAGGTGTATCCTGAGCTGTTGGACTGCTGGTCTCTCACCCCAAAAGGAGAAGGGTAACAAGGAGGATCATGGTGTATCTTAACGGAAACTGGATGAAAACAGAGATAGAAGTCACTGTGAATAAGGTGGAGCTAAGAATTGAGGAGTAAGAGGGAAGGGGACTGGGGAGAGAAGAACTGAGGAGAGAGAAACAAAAAACAGGGGAAGACAAGTGGGGTAGGGACTAAGAGTAAGAAAGACACATGCAAAGAACTCACCAGCATTTCCTGAACCAAAGCGCAAGACCTATCAGAAGCAGCAAAGGCACTATCACCACCAAGATGATCAAGCCCATGGAACTGTGATGTTCTGTGAATTTGGGGAGACACCAAGGATGTTATAATCCACCCCATTTTACCTCACCACTCCCTGTTTCACTGCATTCCCTTGGCTTCTTTTTTTCATTTGAGTATCCAACTTACCAATCTCTTTTCTTTTTTTGTTTTTCTCTCATCCCTGCTCAGAGATGGATTCTTCATCTTATCCTCAGCATCCTCCTGCATCTACAGTGCCCTCATTTTCAATACTTCCATTTCTTAGCTTACCTATTTTTATTCATGTTGGGGCTGTAATCCCTAAAATCCTAAAATTTTCAGCTTGCCCTCCCTCTATGCCTGAGGACTACCTCTTGGCATTTCCAGCTTGGGCCCCAGATCTTTCTCACCACAGTAGAGGATGATGTCCTTGCCCTCTAGACTGCTGTGCTTCACCCGACAGGACAGGCCAGCTGCCTCCCCAGCGGCCACCTCCAGGGTTGCTCGGAGATACCATGTCCCGTCAGCATTGGGCAGGATGTCCCCTCGCTGAGTGCCCTGTTGCTCCTGCTCACCCCGCATCCACTTCACCCACACAGGTTTTGGGTAGAATCCTGAGACGTGGCACACAAGCTGTAGATGGCCAGGTCCAGGACTGAGGTCATGGGACAGCCAGGCCTCGGGCTTCACTGCAAAGGACAGAAAACATATTCAAATACAGACTTTGAGTTTCATATCTCCACAGCAGTTTAGAAGTTTAGAGAGACACATCGTTCCCATTTCTCTTTTTTTTTTTTTTTTTTTTTTTTTTTTTTGAGACAGAGTATCACTCTGTCACTATGCAGCAGTGCAGTGGCATAATTATAATCATAGCGCACTGTAACCTCAAACTCTTGGGCTCAAGCTATCCTCCTGCCTCAGCCTCTTAAGTAACTGGGACTACAGGTGTGTGCTACCATGACTGGCTACCTTATTTTTATTTTTTAGAGACAGGGGTCTCACTGTGTTGCTCAGGCTGGTCTGGGACTCCTGCCCTTAAGCGGTCCTCCAGCCTCAGCTTCCCAAAGCACTGGGATTAGAGATGGGAGCCACTGTACCCAGCCTTTCCCACTTCTGGGTGGCACTTCCTTATTCCAGATTGGAAGGGGATGGTGGAAGGATATGATTTTCAAATCAAAAGTTCTTGGAGGGAGGGTGCAGGACTGACCTTGTCTCTGGAGATGTGCCTTTCCTGCATCAAGAAGACCCAAGATGAAACGTGGGCAGGTGTCACTGAGGAGACTATGTGTTATGTCATTTTTATGCTGATTCTGATTGAGCATTTTGCAGAGACGCTTGGCCATATTCCCAGCCACTGGAGATGGCAACCATGAATTGTTCTGGAAGCTCATGAAATCTGATCCTTGATAAGCTAACCGAAGGAAGCTTCCTGAGAACTTTCCAGAGTGCAGTTCACAGCCTCCTGTCACCTGTATCTCAAAAGGATCTGGGGTTATGAAATATGGGAAAGAGGGAGAAAAAAAGATGAAATGAGTAGAAGCAAAGATTGTTGGAGTAGAAGCAAAGATTGCAGAAGCAGAAGGGGGAAGTTTGCAGGGTTTGACATAATGGAATAAAATTTGGTTTGGTCAGGGATTCAGAGAAAGAGGAATTGGTGGAAGCTGTCGGTGGAGGAAAAGATTAGTAACGTATGGAAAAGGGCAGATTGGTCAAAGAAAGTGATGTGAATGCTGTGGGTGAGGAAGGACTTGGTGTAAGAGAACTGGGGTTACAACAACTTAAGTTGAATGGAATGCAATGGGTTACAATTGAGTATATATAGAGAGACTGCTGAAGAGAATGAATGAGAAAGTGAGAAAGCTGAAGGTATCTGGTTGTAGGGCAGGAAAAAGGGTGGCCATAGGATACCTGTAACGAAAGGTAATAATACATAACCCTGCAGTCAATAAGAGAGGCGTTCATAAGTAGCAGAAGTGTTTGAAGAGTTAGCCTCTGGATAATAGCCCTTGCCCAAAAGTATGCAATTGCAGTTTTATGGTGGAAAGAATAGAATAAGATACAGAAGACAGTCAGGCTGTTTCCTACAGGAATAAGAAACATTGAGACATCCCCTGTCTCCCACCTCCCTACTCCCCATGGAGGAAACTCACACTCAATCTGTAATTCACGGGAGTATCTATGCATTTCCTCAAGGAACCGATCACAGCGTATATGGAATAACATTTCCAGTTCCTTCCACTCCTCGTTGCTGAAGTTTCCCCTGGACCAGGGCCACAGGAAAATGATGGTGCTGGAATTTCTGTCCAAGGTGTGGGTCTGCAAATCACCCAGACAACCTGAGATCAGATTTTGTTTCCAGGAATGGTGGTAAAAAGATGCGATCTGGATGACATGGAAGGAGACAGGCTCCTTGAGCCCTGTGGCAAAAGAACAAATAGAACGGGGAGAAAGAAACTGAGAAAGAGAATGGAGAGAGGCCAGAGTGGGGGAACTCAGAATCTGGAGAAAAGGGGATCCATCATGGTCTTAGCAGATGTTTGCTTGCCACAGAGCCCCATGACTTATCAACCACCTTCTTCAGAGCTCGGGGACTTGGAGTCATGGACAGTCAGAATGGAACCAGCCTGGCACTCTCACTTTCCAGGTATATGCTAGGGAAAGCACACACACATACACACACACACACATACACACATGTGCACACACACAAACACACACACACACAGACCTTCATCTACCCAACTGGGCAGTTGTCAGAGTTCTTACCGTCTGCATTGCCACCACCTGGGAGAACAGCTAGCAATGGAAGTAGCAAAAACAGCATGTCATTTGCAGATGTTATTTCCTTCTCTCAGAAAAAATGGTCTTTGATTTCTGTTCCAAACAAACCTACCCCCACGATATCTCTATTCTGACTTCTTTCTGCAACCAACAGACAAACCTCCCCTGACTGCAACAAAGAAAATTCACTCCAAAAACCCTGAGATGCCTATTTAGTCTCTCATTTCCCTCTGGTTCTGACTCTCCTCTCTAGTTTTCAACTTCTCTCCTTGTCACCAACTTCCAACTTACTCACCTTCCCATAATTCAACTGCTATGGAACAAGTCTGACGTGGCATTGAAAAGCCACTTAACCACTAAGGACCTATTTTTTCCTCAATCATACAATAAGCATGAAACTAAATGGCTCCCAGAGTGCCGCCCAATGTTCCCATGTCCCTGCTGTTTTCGATCACTCTGTCCTTTTCAATATTTTCCCATGTATTTTCTTCCTGTCTCTTCACCCCCTTACTACATTCTCATTTCTGATTTAACATTGATTGATTTGCTTTGTCAGAGTCTCCTATGACTGCCCTGTGTGACAGTATAAACTAACACCTTTTCTCCATTATTCTTAGAGAAGGGCCAGTAACCATCACACACACACACACAAAACAAGAACACTAAAATATATAAAGAAAATTTCCTCTGTTTGATTTTCATTGATATACATTCACTCACCCAACAGACTCTCTCAGCATCTGCCTGGAGTCAAGCATCCTGGTACTTAAGAATATGCAGTGGTTGATAACACAATCACTTTATTGAAGGAGTTTTAACTCTACTTAGGGAGAAAAACACAAGAACTATAAATCTTGGTGTGCTGAGTTTTATTATACTGTATACACTCTCTGGATAAAAACAAGGCCTGCTTGAAATAATATTTTCTAAAATAGGGACTCCTAACTAAAGTTTGCCAGCCCAGAATTTTGACTTCAACGGTTGACTTGGATATTAGTTCCATGCCGTTATCACACTGTATCCCCACTTAACAGAGTACCTCGCAAGTGGTAGGTGCTTAGTGAATATTTGTCAAATGAATGAATGAATTCAGCCAATACATCCATTTTTTAATTATGGAGGAGATATTCAACATGAAACTTTTTAAAGATATCATAAATGTTACTTGTAACCCTACATAGTGAGATGAGAATCTCATACACTTTTATTAAGGATAAAAGTACAAGTTACTGCCATGAGGTTTACATAAAGGATCCTGCTATAAATTTCCTATTACTTATAAGAAACTAGTCAGAACTTGAGAGCAGTGAAGTTAATGGAATATTGCAAAGTCTGTATCCCAGGATCCCTTTTTATTAGTCTTACTTGGATGTTTCAGGGTTGTTTTGTGATAAACGAGTCTTTGCTGGACAGATTTACATTCCTCTTTTATGCTGCTTGTTACTGTTCAAGGACTTCTAAATATATGTTTGTGCTTTGTAGGTATCATCCATATAAATGTGTTTGGGCTATTTATTGTTTGGTTTTCAAAAATATTATCTGAAGCTAATTTAGGGGAAAATTTTTTTTTTCTCGAGACAGGGTTTCACTCTGTTATTCAGGCTGGAGTGCAGTGGAATGATCATAGCTCACTGTAACCTCAAACTCCTCAAGCAATCCTCCTGTGTCAGCCTCCGAAAGTGCTGGGATTATTGGTATGAGCCACCAGGCATGGCCTGCAAATAATTTTTGTTTGTTTGTTTTGTTTTGTTTTGTTTTGTTTTGAGACAGAGTCTCACTCTGTCACCCAGGCTGGAGTGCAGTGGCATGATATCAGCTCACTGCAATGTCTGCCTCCCAGGTTCAAGCAATTGTCCTGCCTCAGCCTCCCAAGAAGCTGGGATTACAGGCGTGTGCCACCATGCCTGGCTACCTTTGATATTATTAATAGAGATGGGGTCTCACCATCTTGGTCTTGAACTCCTGACCTCAGGTGATCCACCTGCCTCAGCCTCTCAAAGTGCTGGGATTACAGGTAATTTTTTTAAAGTTAAAATTAGCATGCAAAAAGCTGTAAAGAGCTTCATTTTTATATTTACAATTTTTTGAAGCTGGACCATCAAAATCAGAACTTGAATTTATCAAAGAACTGAAATATCAGGGCAACCAGTTAACCCAAAATATAAAGAAAGACAGACTCCTCCAAGGACAGAAGGAATGCAAACCCTTGTTTACTTGGGACAGATGCCAGACACTGTACAAGCCAATAAGAAAAACAATTCAGCTACAATTTTAAACAAATTAGTAAAGGCTAGCATGAGTATATAGAAGCTCTGGGAGTCATAGAAACAGGGAATTTCACATCAGTCTCTAAGCCCTTTTCTGTAAACCTCACTAGGGTCTTCTGAAAGATTAGGATCAGAGATGTAGACCACATAAATCCTCTCTTATGATGCGGGTCTGAGGTATGAGAACAGTTACTGCATGGGAAAGGTAGTAAGTCCCAACTAGACCTGTCTCCTCTATTGCAAGAAAGAAAGAAAAAAAAAAAAAAAACCTGGCCAGGTGTGATGGGTCACACCTGTAATCCCAGCACTTTGGGAGGCCAAGGTGGGCAGATCACAAGTTCAGGAGTTTGAGACCAACCTGGTCAACATGGTGAAACCCTGTCTGTACTAATAATACAAAAAATTAGCTGGGTGTGGTGGTGCACAGCTGTAGTCTCAGCTACTTGAATCCAGGAGGTGTAGGTTGCAGTGAGCCGAGATCCTGCCACTGCACTCCAGCCTGGGCAACAGAGCAAGATTTGGCCCAAGATGGCCAAATAGGAACAGCTCCAGTCTCCAGCTCCCAGTGTGAGTGGCACAGAAGATGGGTGATTTCTGCATTTTCAAATGAGGTACCAGGTTCATCTCACTGGATCATGTCAGACAGGTGGTGCTGGTCGGCGGTTGCAGCCCTACCAGTGAGAGCTGAAGCAGGGCGAGGCATTGCCTTGCCTGGGAGGTGCAAGGGAGAAGGGAATTCCTTTTCCTAGCCAAAGGAAATTGAGACACAGAACACCTGGAACATCAGGTAACTCCCATCCTAATACTGCGCTTTACCAAGGGTCTTAGCAAATGGCACACCAGGAGATTATATCCCACACCTGGCCCAGAGGGTCCCATGCACAGGGAGCCTCCCTCATTGCTAGCACAGCAGTCTGAGATCTAACTGCGAGGCAGCAGCGAGGATGGGGGAGGGGCGCCTGCCATTGCTGAGGCTTAAGTAGGTAAACAAAGCCACCAGGAAGCTCGAATTGGGTGGAGCCCACCACAGCTCAAGGAGGCCTGCCTGTCTCTGTAGTCTCCACCTCTGGGGACAGGGCATAGCTAAACAAACAAACAAACAAAGCAACAGAAACCTCTGCAGACACAAACAACCCTGTCTGACAGCTTTGAAGAGAGCAGTGGATCTCCCAACATGGAGGTTGAGATCTGAGAACGGACAGACTGCCGGCTCAAGTGGGTCCTTGACCCCTAAGTAGCCTAACTGGGAGACATCCCCCACTAGGGGCAGACCGACACCACACACCTCACACGGCAGGGTACACCCCTGAGACGAAGCTTCCAAAGCAAGAATCAGACAGGTACACTCGCTGTTCAGCAATATTCTATCTTCTGCAGCCTCTGCTGCTGATACCCAGGCAAACAGGGTCTGGAGTGGACCTCAAGCAATCTCCAGGCCTACAGCTGAGATCTTGACTGTTAGAAGGAAAACTAACAAACAGAGGACACCCACAACAAAACCTCATCAGTATCCATCATCAGGACCAACCTACAGCTGAGGGTCCTGACTGTTAGAAGGAAAACTAACAAACAGAAAGGACACCCACAACAAAACCTCATCAGTACATCACCATCATCAAGGACCAAAGGCAGATAAAACCACAAAGATAGGGAAAAAGCAGTGCAGAAAAGCTGGAAATTCAAAAAACCAGAGCGTATCTCCCACTCCAAAGGAACGCAGCTCATTGCCAGCAACAGAACAAAGCTGGACAGAGAATGACTCTGACGAGTCGAGAGAAGAAGGCTTCAGTCGATCAAACTTCTCAGAGCTAAAAGAGGAACTATGTAACCAGCGCAAAGAAACTAAAAACCTTGAAAAAAGACTTGACAAATGACTAACTAGAATAACCAAAGTAGAGAAGTCCTTAAAAGAACTGATAGTGATGAAAACCATAACATGACAACTACATGACAAATGCACAAGCTTCAGTAACCCACTCGATCATCTGTAAGACAGAGTATCAGCGATTGAAGATCAAATGAATGAAATGAAGTGGGAAGAGAGGTGTAGAGAAAAAGAGTAAAAAGAAATGAACAAAGCCTCCAAGAAATATGGGATTATGTGGAGAGACCAAATCTACGTCTGATTGGGGTGCCTGAAACTGATGGGGAAAATGGAACCAACTTGGAAAACCCTCTGCAGGATATCATCCAGGAGAACTTCCCCAACCTAGTAAGGCAGGCCTACATTCAAATTCAAGAAAAACAGAGAATGCCACAAAGATACTCCTCAAGAAGAGCAACTCCAAGACACATAATTGTCAGATTCACCAAAGCTGAAATGAAGGAAAAAATCTTAAGGGCAGCCAGAGAGAAAGGTCGGGTTACCCACAAAGGAAAGCCCATCAGACTAACAGCGGATCTCTTGGCAGAAACTCTCCAAGCCAGAAGAGGGTGGGGGCCAATATTCAACATTCTTAAAGAAAAGAATTTTCAACCCAGAATTTCATATCCAGCCAAACTAAGTTTCATAAGTGAAGGAGAAATAAAATCCTTTACAGACAAGCAAATGCTTAGAGATTTTGTCACCACCAGGCCTGCCCTACAAGAGATCCTGAAGGAAGTACTAAACATTGAAAGGAAAAACAGGTACCAGTCATTGCAAAAACATGTCAAAATATAAAGTCCATTGACGCTAGGAAGAAACTGCATCAACTAGCGAGCAAAATTACCACCTAATATCATAATGACAGGATCAAGTTCACACATAACAATATTAACCTTAAATGTAAATGGACTAAATAGTCCAACTAAAAGACACAGACTGGCAAATTGGATAAAGAGTCAAGACCACCAGTTTGCTGTATTCAGGAGACCGATCACACATGCAGAGACACACATAGTCACAAAATAAAGGGATGGAGAAAGATCTACCAAGCAAATGGAAAACAAAAAAGAGCAGGGGTTGCAATCCTAGTCTCTGATAAAACAGACTTTAAACCATCAAAGATCAAAAGAGACAAAGAAGGCCACTGCATAGTGGTAAAGTGATCAATTCATCAAAAAGTGGTAACTATCCTAAATATATATGCACCCAATACATGAGCACCCAGATTCATAAAGCAAGTCCTTAGAGACTTACAAAGAGACTTAGACTCCCACACAATAATAATGGGATACTTTAACACCCCACTGTCAACATTAGATAGATCAATGAGACAGAAAGTCAACAAGGATATCCAGGAATCGAACTCAACTCTGCACCAAGCGGACCTAATAGACATCTACAGAACTCTCCATCCCAAATCAACAGAATATACATTCTTCTCAGCACCACATCACACTTATTCCAAAATTGACTACATAGTTAGAAGTAAAGCACTCCTCACCAAACGTAAAAGAACAGAAATTATAACAAACTATTTCTCAGACCACAGTGCAATCAAACTAGAACTCAGGACTAAGAAATTCAATCAAAACTGCTCAACTACATGGAAACTGAACAATCTGCTCCTTAATGACTACTGGGTACACAACGAACTGAAGGCAGAGATAAAGATGTTCTATGAAACCAATGAGAACAAAGATACAACATACCAGAATCTCTGGGACACGTTTAAAGCAGTGTGTAGAGGGAAATTTATAGCACTAAATGTCCACAAGAGAAAGCTGGAAAGATCTAAAATTGACATTCTAACAATCACAATTAAAAGAACTAGAAAAGCAAGAGCAAACACATTCAAAAACTAGCAGAAGGCAAAAAGTAACTAAGAT